AATTTGTGACGATATATATATATATATATATATATATATATATATAGTCACCTGTTCATCACCTCCTACGTACATGGCCAGCCACGTGGATGACGCCACAGGTTCAGCGCTAGCTGCCCCCATCCCCGTGTGTCACAAGGACCCACTTGCACGCAGAACGAAGGCGAAGAGGTAAAGAAAAGGAGGAGGATACCAGACCTCATAGAGACGAGAAAAAGAAAAAAGGATACAGTGTGAGAAAAGGGAGAAGGGGAGAGGAAGGTCTGAATTTTTTCCTGAGAAAAAAAGATATATATCATCACAAACAAACATATAAATATATATATATATATTTGAGGGGGTGGGGGGGGGCAATTGACGAAGCAGAAGAAGACGAAGAAGAAGAAGAAAAACAAGAAGAAGAAGAAGAAGAAGAAAAACAAGAAGAAGAAGAAGAAGAAGAAGATGATGAAGCGGAAGAAAGCCACACAGACCAGCGAATCAAATGACACATATCACAGATAACGAAACAAGCACTACGCAAAACTCTCTCTCTCTCTCTCTCTCTCTCTCTCTCTCTCTCTCTCTCTCTCTCTCTCTCTCTCTCTCTCTGCGATGACAAACACCACTGTCAAACTTGCATGGAACGAGGCGCTTTAGCCGTGGTTGCGCCGAGTACGGAACGCACGCTGGTAATCATACACACAACGTTGTATCTTGCGCGTCGACTACGGCCTACGGACTGTACATTCTCCGGATTGAGCGCTCCCCCTCAAATGCGGCGCGTACGGAGTACAGAACGTACGTCGACTCGATGTATATATATATATATCGTCACAATCAGAACTGCCCGGTAAACCGTAGGCAGCGAGAGAGAGCGAGAGAGAGAGAGAGAGAGAGAGAGAGAGAGAGAGAGAGAGAGAGAGAGAGAGAGAGTCCAGAATACACAAAGGAAGAAAGAATCTGACACACCCCACAGATGCACACAGACCTCACAAAAGGAAGACAACGAGGAAGGTCAGAGAAGAGGGAAAGAAGGAAAGCAACACGCACATCCCAGAGATAAAGCAATATACCGGGCAATTCTGTTTGTAACGATATATATATATATATATATATATATATATATATCATCACAAACAGAACTGCCTGGTAAACCGTAGGCAGAGAGAAAAAAAAAAGGACAACAAACGAAGGCCTGTGACAAACTGTTTCGTCGGAGTTTCACTGACTTATCAGGAGGATGATATATATATATATATATATATTATATATATATATATGTGCAAAAAAACACAGATCAAACGGTTCAATTCATGGAGACACCAAATATAGACATATCAATAATAAAATAAAAGGTGACGTCGATGTTTGCCTTGGAGGTGTCAGTGGGTGTTGCTTTATCTGTGGGATGTGTGTGTTGCTTTCCTTCTTTCTAACGCGTATATATATATATATATATATATATATATATATCGTCACAAATAGAACTGCCCTGTAAACCGTAGGCAGAGAGAGAGAAGAGGACAACAAACGAGGGGCTGTGACAAAATGTTTCGTCGGAGTTTCACCAACTCATCATATATATATATATATATATATATATATATACACAGCCCCTCGTTTGTTATCCTCTTCTCTCTCTCTGCGTACGGTTTACCGGCCAGTTCTGTTTGTGACGATATATGTATGTATAGGTAGATAGATATAGATATAGATTCGTCACCTCTTACGTACAAGGCCAGACACGTGGAGGACAGGCAGAGCGCTGGGTACCCCCATCTCCGGGTGTCACAAGGAGCCACTTGCACGCAGCGAAAAGGCAAACAGGTAATTAAAGGAGCAGGAAACGAAACTTCACGATGGGAAAGAAAGCCTATCACTAAAACAAAGGGAATGACAAATCGCACAGACAATCCGATTGACAGAAACCATACTAGCGATCCCACCGTTCAACATATTGTTTGTACAGGAGGCAGTTGCTTCATTTTTTTTGTTGTTTTCTTCCTATTTTATTTATTTATTTATTGTTTTTCCCCATCTTTTTGTTCATTCGTGTATTGTCACGCTGTGTGTCCGAACCGAAACACGAACACGAAGCAAGACAAGGAAAACGGCAGGCACATAGATAAGAAGAGTCTTTCGCAAAGGGTGAAGTGCAACTACTGAAACGAAACCCTAAATAAAATAACATAGATTCACCAAAAACAAAAAAAATATAAGAAATAAAAAAAAATAAAAACCAAACCAAGAAACACACAAGCACACAAAAACATTCCGCCGACATATCCATTATAATCACGAAGTCACACCACCATTCATTGGAGCAGAAAGAGAGTACACATGGCAGCAATGGCTGCGGTCCGTCGATGACGTCATGCCCACTACAGTGTGGACACCTTATTCGCCAACCCTGCACGCTATAAAGGCATAGCGTACAGATGAAAGAACCGAAAAGGAAAAGATATAACATCAAAAAAAAAAATTAAACAATATAACCCCAAAGGGACAGAAGTGAAGGCGACTAAAAAAATCCGTCCCCGTCGCCGACACCGACTCCTCCATCATCGCCACTATACCCGCCAGCCTCCCCTGCGCCATCGCCACCCCCCCCCCCCTTCATCATCGCTCGTCGGCGGCGACATAAGGTATCCGTTTGGGGGGGGAGTGTTTGCCCGTAGGTTTGGATTTCCGTACGTCTAGGCTATGGCCGCCCATCCCCACGGACCGCGCGAAGGATCGCCCCCCCAACCCCCATTTCGCTGGGACAGTTCTCGCGGAAGGTGGCCCCATCCGCCTTCTCCTTGCGATCCCGTGTCCACCGTCGATTGTCCCTCCTCGGCACCTGCCCCCCCCTCGCCAATCGCCGGTGACGAAGATGATGACGAAGGTTCTTGGGGGTGAGGCGGAGTGGTGGCCTGCAGAGTGCCAGATGCCCCCCCTTCGCCAGCTGCCACAGTCGGAGACGGCACACTGCTTTCGTCCGACATCTCTCTCTCTCTCTCTCTCTCTCTCTCTCTCTCTCTCTCTCTCCAAATAAAAGGACATAAGACGATGGCTGTCGCCATCGTCGATGTCTTCCGAGAGCGGAGTTCGACGATTGTCTTGTCGTCTATCGAGAACTCGTCTCAGGCATCGGCGACAGCGACAGCCGGTGAGTCCGATGGCCTCACTTTTCCTCACTTTGTCTTCG